ACGTGTGCTCTTCCGATCGATGGTCTGTTCTTTTTAGCTATAAAAAAATAGTTAAAGTGTACAAAAAACGCTAAAAAGAACAGATTATTTTGACTCGGAGTCGGATCGAGTCAACAAATCGAAAACGCTATAAGAGTATTTTGTCGGTGTTTCCTTTCTCACTTTCATCGGTCGTAGATCTCTCTGTTCATCTTATGGGCATTCCTGAACATTTATATATGTTCTATGCTTTTCTGTCAAAGTGTGAATTCTTCTTAAGGCTTTACGCTCTCTTGGTATTTTCTACTACCATGGCTGCGTTCAGAAACTTTACCCGAGTATTCCCGTGCATTATTTTATCCTTGTTCAATATTCGGTTAATAAAAAGAATAAAGTGATACACGGAGATCCGGGACATTCGGGTGAAGTTTCCGAACGCAGCCCATGATGGTTTTCGTTTGGAATTGATCCATCGCTTCTACACTTCTGTATGCATTTGAGTTTTCATAATTACGACTGTGGCCGTATCAATCGAACGTTTTGATACAGAATTCTTGGCCACTACACTTTTCTACGATTGTCATATGCGCTTTTCGTCAAATTCGGATGACATGTATTGCATGTTTGGCGTGCATTAATAATCATACATAGTTGGATAGTCGTGAGTTATTGGAGTGCCGTTGATGGTTCAAACTCAGCGGCTGGCTGATGATTATTTGCTATTGAATACATTTTTCTAAAGGCTCTCTCGAAAAGCACCGGCAGATTAATCCACGCTTATACACAGACGACGGGAAAAAACTATGTAGTTGCGATGGTTGCGAGCACAGCGACTGATATGACTGGATCTATATATCATGAACGACAAGTAATTTGTTACCGTTGTTGCATTCTTTCCGTTGATCATCTTTACGTTGCACTTGTATTCCGTAGAAAATTCGTTACCGTACACAATGCGAAGTAATCGTCAATGGAACACTGACTAAAAATATCTTTGCAATATTTTGGAAAAAGATCTTTTTTCTAAATTTGTTATGTACTTATTATTTTAGCTAAGATAACAAATATTACATTGTAGGTGAAGGAGCTGTGTGCGTTACACGCGCTAAACAACCTGTTTCAAGAGCGTGGATTTAGTAAGCAAGAATTAGATCAAATCTGTTACAGTCTAAGTCCAGACGTATGGATCAATCCTCATAAGTCGTTACTGGGGCTCGGCAATTATGACATTAATGTTATTATGGCTGCTCTCCAAAGAAGAGGACGTGAAGCTGTATGGTTTGACAAACGTAGGTCTGTACAGTGTCATAAATATCATTTGGAATGTGATCATGCAAATTACGATTGTAAGCATTTATTAATTGTTCCTTCTGTTTCAGAGATCCTAAGTGTCTTCATTTAGACAACATTGAGGGTTTTATACTTAATGTCCCAACTGAATACAAATTAGGTTTTGTGCTACTTCCTTTGAAGCGACGTCATTGGATTGCTCTGAAAAAAATACATGGTGCCTTTTATAATCTTGATTCAAAGCTGGACTCGCCGCAATTAATAGGAAAGGTTGTTAAATTTTATAATAAAATTTTCTAAGATATGAAGGTATTTTCATATGAGCATGTGATGTTAATTATATTTTTTCTTGTGCATCAGGACAACGATTTACTCATATATCTAAAGGATCAGATAGATAGCAAGGAGAAGGAACTGTTCCTTGTTGTTTCTAGAGAAATCGATAACAATCAAGGATGGTTGATAGATACGTGTGAAAATAAAGATGAAGACAATAATATGGATCATGATTCTATTAGGTATATTGAGGATGGATACCCAGATATAGATTTGAAAAAATCCGAGTCTAAGGAAATGAATGAAAACGAGGAATTTCTAGATAACAAGAATTCTAGATAATTGGGGCTACCATGCACCATGCTCCACTTTATTTATTCATTCCCTTGTTGCAAATTTAAGGAAGAGTGATTATAATGATTGCAAGAAAAGGCTTGATATTATATAGGAACAAAGAGAACAAAGAGAAATAAACAGATAATGGCAATTACACATATAATGAATGTTTCACTGAGCATTTTTCGCAATAATGCTTTCATTCATATCTATGTGTTAACACAAACGTGATATTTTTATTTATTTATTTACTTTTAATAGAGAAGAGTCATTTATATATATATTGTGTATATTATCTACTACTAATGATACATTATGCGTAACGCATTTTAAGAAATAACGTATATAAGGTATATAGCGTTGTATTTAAAATGAAAATATTGCTTTATTAAAAGTTAACGTGTATAAGAGAAGAACTTGTATTCAAACGACAGCTACTCACACTGAAAGGGTATTTATGTGTATATTTATCGTGATATTATTTATATGTGATAATTATATGTCATTTTAAAAAGCTTGTATAAATAAACACACTTGTAATATGAAATTGTTATGATTTTAGATACAATCATAACTTTTTTACACAATAAATATGCTTGTAATTTACTTTATAATTAATTTATCCTGTATATATAAGATAATATTAAGTAGACATTACTGTTTACATTATAAGTACTAGTATATATTTAAGTTATGGCTTTAAATAAGTGTCAAATAATTGATTAATAATTTATTTATTTTTATTGTACCACAAAAATAAAGAGTAAATCAGCCAATGAACTTACTATACAAAATATATATACTATATACATATATATAAGTAATAATATTATAACATTGTTCTAACATATCGTTGTATGTTACATCACCACTTGATTGCGAGTGCTGTATTCATTTTTTGTATTTCGTGGTACTGCGTGTTGAAATACGCGCTAACTTTGTCTGTATGCTCTCCTCCCAGCCAAGTTTTGTACAGATTCTGTACCACTTTGTTTTCTTCGGGTTTACTCAGCGGAAGTTTACGATACATATTTTCTAATGTCGACGCAAGTTCTCGGGGTTGAATGTTCCCATCAGGTCTCACTTGTGCTCCGCCATTTAAACAACCTATAAATAATAATCACATTAAGTTTAGTTATTTGTCACACGCTAATACATTGTCTTAAGCAAAGCAATAATTACCACACGGGCATGCCATAATTTCAACGTAATCGTAAATGCATTTGCCTCTTTTCATTTTCTGAACTATATTTTGTATATTTCTGAATCCATTAATAATAGCGAATTTTAATAACACTTGGTCGTTTCTTTTCAATTCTGCCTCCTGGAAGTCGGGATTTCTGAGATTTTTGAAATCCACTGTGACATTGTCCTCGTCAAAAAGATTCTTCGCCGCGTAACGGAAAATGAAGTCTGCATAACCACCTGATCCCGAGCCACTATGGCCCCACAATCTATTTCCAATTTCTTCATTGTAGGAACCGAATGGTTGTTTAATTTCACCTTCGTCTATTTCGTTTAACATTAAACCATCCTCACTTAGCATCTGTTCCAATTCAACTGAAAGACAAAAAGTTGATACCATAAATTACACCTAAATCCTAATAATACTTAAACAGTTTTAATACAGAGATATGAATATATCTATATACTTGATGTTATGACACAGTCCACATCTCTCGTCCTTCGTTGTTGATTATAAAAATCTTCTCTGGAAGCTTCTAACTTCTTATCATAGCAGGGCATTACAGTTACATGGTATACCTGTTCTGGCGACAGGCCCATAATTTCAGCTAAGTGGTACTTTACTAACGATCCCATAATTTGTTGAGGTGATTTTGTGACACTTATATGTGGCAATATAAAATTCCCATGAGTTTTCTCAGCATAACATACCCAACCTATCATAGAAATAAGAATATTATAAATCTCATGAATTGATTAACGTCTATTTCGATAAACAAATATTTATTTTACCCGGACATGAAGAGGACAACATTGGTAATTGATTTTTTGCACCCTCTTTACTGGCTTTATATCGCTCGACAAACTCTTTGGCAGCTTCTAATAAAACAAAATCGTCAGCCATTGTCATGTCTAACACCGCATCAGCTCCCAATCGATAAAAAAAGCCTGCTAATTTGCAGAGAGCTTGCTCGGGGGTAAGTTCATAGCGTTGTGCCAATGACAATACAGGTTGCACTGACAGACTTACTATTATATATTTGGAATCTGTACTTCCTATATTCTGCAAAAAACGTAAATAGTGTTATGATATTAAAGACGATATAAAAATATAAAATAAATTAAGAACACATCTTGTAATTGTGTATATCTCTATTTTGTATATCACTATTAAAGGCAAAATCTTTTAGAGAGCTTAACAAATTGTATTTATAAAAGAATAAGTAATTAATACTATATATCTTTAATTCTCTATATATTTTGCTATAGATATCTAAATTTTATATTGTTTAATATGTAGAATCTTTTTACTTTTGCATCTAAATGAGAAAACTCTATAAAATATTTATATATTGTAACATTTATTGTTTACCTGGTGAGCCACTTTCTCTTGAAATACCCTGAGTAGTTCTTCTCGACTTTGTTGAGTAACTAGCACGCTCTCAGCAGACGTAATGCAACCACTGCATGCTAAACAATCGGCAAGGGTGATCTCAACTTTTTGTAATTTTTCCGGTTGCCCAATCTGTAAAATAGAGCAAACTTTAATGGAAAGTTTTAAGCTAGAATTACATTTTAACAAAACAAATGTTGTAGACATTTACTTCATTGAGTGCCAAATGGGCATTATCCGATTGTATTTTTATCTTTGCACCTGTTTTGCTTTTGTTTGCCTGCATTTCTATAGGTTTAATGCATTCCTACAACAAATGTAATTTAATATAATAGCATATGGAAATTATAAATCCTAATCCAGAATATCGATCATTATACCTGCGATGGTGTGATGAAGTCATCCAGATTTGTAATTTGCAATGCTCCACTGAATCTTGATGCCATTTTTTCCAAATTTCACTGTGTTCAGCTTTTTATGTAAATATTTTTACTTTCTGTAATGTATGCGACTTATATAAAAAAAACTTAGAAACTAATGTGCTTTCCTTTTATAAATGTAAATATTATTCAGTCAAATAAATACCTCTTATTTTTTAAATTTATTAAGACTTTGTATAATTGTAGATTAGTTTCTGCAACCTACATGAAGTCATATAGCAAGAATAAACAGATATTCCCAGCATAAAATGCCTAATAAATATTATTGCCAACATTAACCTCTTCACTATCTTTGGAACATAAATGACTCACTAAATTTCAAAATTACTATAATTCTATATAAATGAAACCTCTGTGTCGTTATTTGTGTACATACTAAAATCAAAAATAATGGTAAAAAAACATGCCTATGCGCAAGAGGCAAGAAATATTTTCATTAAAACTAATGCAACGTAAATGTCCTCGTTACGGCTAATTTATGATCATGACAAATGTGCTCCTCTGTCACAAGAGTGACTCACTGACCTGCGCCTGAGACACCGCAACCGTACCACTGTGTAGAGTAGCCGTGTTAGCATCGCTAGAGGGGTCGGGGGCGCGATTTTGCTTACATAGCATAAAATTGCAATAATGACCGAAGTGAGGAAGGACGATGTCGTGAAAATTCTTCACACTTATCCGTTTTGTAGAGTAAGTAAAATGCGCTCCGCATCTTATTGTAATTTATTGCATGTCGCTGCGTAAATAGATGCGAATGTGACGTTTAATCAATACGGGAAGCGTATACGTTTTGCTACGCGTTTAATTGAATCGATGCTTCTGATTTAAAATCAAAATTACACGCATTTATTGGGGTTTGAATGAATGCCAATTTGTTATCTAATTTCATATTTAGCGTATAATACATAGTAAAACCCAAAATTTATTTCACTTTAATATTTATAGAAACTTATTACAATATTGTCAAAAATTTCTTATTATTTATTATATTGCCATTGCAAAATTATCCAGTTTTTAAATATCTTTATGTATACGCGAGTTGTACATACAAATTGTGCTGGAATTTTTTAAATAATATTCTTTTAATGATATTAACGTTTATTTACAGAAGTGTGATATGTCCGACGAGATGAAGCAAGAGGCGATGGAATTATGCGTGACTGCAGCAGAAAAGTACGCGGACAACTATGAGAGCGTGTCTCGAATGATCAAGGAGACCATGGATAAGAAATTCGGTGCGTCGTGGCACACTGTCGTTGGCGAAGGCTATGGCTTTGAAATAACTTATCAATTGAAGCATCTTCTGTATATGTACTGTGCCGGCAATTTGGCAATATGCATATGGAAATCCGCATAGTGCAATTTTGGCACTTATAATTTATTTATATGTATATATGTATTTATATACGCGCACATAAGTGTTTGATTGTATATGTAAAAATACTTTTATGCGAGTGAGCGAAACGTGTATATGTAAGATAAATTGTTACGAGAAAAGAGGAAAAGAAGACGTTTTTAATATCTTATATATAAGTGTGGGTCCAATTGTGTTTATAAATCACAATCAAATACTATCATAATTAAATACTTACATATTGGAAACAAAATATGATGATAATCCAATTCAGACGATAATCTAATTCAGATTGTATATAATACAAAATACAACAATTAATAGAAATACTTTCTGATACATTATTGAATTATGTACTTTTATTTAGAGAGCAATATTTAATGTGTGGCAGGATATAAGATAATATATATCCAACATAAAAATGTATTCCTTTGTAAGAAAATAATAATATATATTAAAAAAATTCATATACATAACAGTATTTGAAAATATATATTTATCCTTTACATATAAAATTCGTCAAAAACCAGTAACCGTCCTCCATACAAGAACTGCTATATTACCTCCAATAAACATATATAATAGCGATTTCTCTTGATAAGTAGTTGCACATGCGTAAGCCTCCCCGACAACTACTTGGAAGGGCGGGCCAAATTTTTTATCCAGATTATCCTTGATCATGCGAGCTGCGTGCTCATAATTCTCTGAATATTTTTCCACAGCGGTGACACAAATTTCCATAGCTTCTTGCTTCATGTCTTCTGGCATATCGCTGTGCTATTGCAGAGAATTTCTGCTGTAATTAAAATTGAGATACTCTCTAATTGGGATGTGAATTGTAATCCAGATCAATTTACCTTACACAAGGGGTATGTATGAATCATCAAAGTTGCAACATCTTTCTTTACCTCTCCAGCCCACATTTTACAAAAGTGTCTCTTTAATAATTTTACTGTATATTGCGCACAACAGTAAAATTATGTTATTTGTGTTTTTAATATTAAACGGACTCTCCATATATTCAGTATGTATATATAAATATTTGGTTATACTAAATATATAACATTTAAACAAATGAATATTTGACATATATATACACCCTATTGAAATTTTCAAATATAGGAAAGTGAATTTCACAATTTAATATTTATAATATAGGTATTTTTAACATACTATAGTATATGCTTATATTGAACTATACTATACATATATTATGTGAGTAGCTTAATTCATCTTAACCAATATTCAATTACTGATTTTTTATAATTAACTGCGCCTGAAAAGGAAAAATTTGATCAAAAAAATTAATTGTTAAATGAAAAATTTTAATACCCTAAACACAGTATTAAGGAAATAAATTAATTTTAAGTCTTATAAAAAAAAGGAAATAGTAAAATTTGTAAAATGTACGGAAATTATACAATTTAAAGAATATTGCATATTTTTTATATTTTCACTCTTTCTCACAAACAAAAAGATTATAATCTACTTTGGGTACATTCCGAAATTAACTGGCAGTGACAGTACTGCTTTATCGTTCCGAAATAGAATTTCTAGTCTTCTTCTTCTTAATATGGCGTCTGCTCCCTCTTCTTCTTCTTCTTCTTCTGATGTAGGCTTCCGTCAGGGCCTGTTCACTCCCATGTATTTTTGGGGGACAGCGTTTTGGCGCCCTTACACTCGGCAAAATGGAACTAAGTATCCAAATCTGTCGGCAACATAGTCCTATATACATATATATATAATCTAAATTTCATTCTTAATATGAGCTAAATAAGTGAAAACTATATATATACATATTGTTTTATTATATTTATTATATATATATACACACTTCTCATCAAAATTAAAGCATCATTCATTCCGATCACTAAAAATAGGCAAATTTCAAGAGAGTGTAACTTCGTGAAAAATGATCGTATCGGAATGATCAAAAAAGCATTTTAAAGCTTAAAGTCTCTACTTTCGACATTCATAATTTACAAAGTAAATAAGAAAAATCAAAAATCTAAAAATTTTTTACCAAGTTTGCGAAGTTCCAAAAAGTAAAATAAAAATCGCATGCAAATAAGGTTTACATCGTTCGAAAGCGTGAATTTTTAGCTTTAATTTGAGCAGTCGGCGAGCATTGTGCGATTTTTTTTCACCGAGTTATTCAACATTGAAGTAAAAATGATCCTTATGCTTCAACATTGAATAACTCGGTGAAAAAAAATCGCAAAATGCTCACCGAGTGCGCAAATTAAAGATAACGATTCACGCTTTT